AAAATTAAAAAGTTAAGTTATTGGGGTAATTTATGTCGCCATAAATAGACTCTTGCAATACTCTTATCAACCGTTATGTTAAACTACGGAGTTGTTACGATTTTTTGTGGGTTTTATATTGAGAACAGGGTTTGGTCTACTTTTTCCAAATTTTTAACTCATCAACTCCCACCAGAACGGGCGTTTTTGACTCACTGTTTAAAAAATGGCTTATAGATGGTTAAAATTTCCACTAAAATATTAAGAGCCAAATTTTTCTAAGGAGAACCGAACGTAAAGAAAAATAATAGTACTTTTACCAAAACGGGGAACTTTAACCCAGTGTAGAAGACATTGCGATGTGCGGGAGCAAAACCTTCCTGGGATTTGACCACCACTTATGCAGCGTTTTTGCTGCATTTAAAATGCAACATTTAGCACTTTCGAACATATGTTTTCGAAGAGCGTTCATGCAAATGTACATTTACGCGAGTTCGAAGTCGTATGCTTTTGACAAACAGCCGTGTTCCAGTCTCTTATTTAGATGCGTATATATTACGATCAATTCTCACGCAGAAGATAATGTGCAAAAACCCTACTGAAAAGGAAAAAATAAATTTTAAACCAAAAATTCAATTCAAAAACTTGAATTGTTTTAACCATAACCGAACATTTGTTTGTGTATATATTCATTTGTCGGTGCTGTCAATTAAAATTTCCCCACTTAATTAGGAAACAAACCAAACAGAGTTGATGACAAATTGATCCAGATTTCTATCAGCATCACATCGATGTTGAATTTGCTTAACTTTTCTTTATCCAAATATGTAATGTAAAATAAAAGAAATCTCGATCGGCTATCACTGAAACGCAGCTAGCAACTGTATACTCGAAAAAGCAGTGTTGCCACTTTTTCTCTTTAAACCATGTTCGAATCGGGGAAATTTTGGAAGATCACTGGGTTGCTTTTAGCATTTAGATTCTTAATGCAAAAATGGAGTTGCATTTAGGTGACGAATTTTGTATGGATAAATGTACATTTAGAGTAGCATTTAGAGCCAAATGTGCTAAATGTGATTTTACGCGTAAGCAAAAACAGCCCATTAGGAGTGCTAACGTAATTTTCACACAGCCACCTAGTACTTGCATTCGTCTGCGGGACTCCAG